TTAGCATTAGTTTTTATGCTTATTTTGATAACTTTGGGCACTTTGTTTCTAACAAAGCAAACAGGCAGAACATGCCGGAGGACAAAGGGGAATTCGGTCCTCTTGACCCAAAGTGTTTAAATACATGTGGATATGTTGCTTTGCCAAGATTGAGCCAGATTTTGGTTTGTAGGGGCTGAACTTCATTTGTTCCCCTGGCTTTTCCTGTGTTTTTCCTTGCTACTAGTATTCTTCTTTGCCCCTAGCCCTTGAAGTATTTCTTAAGTATTTCTTAAGTATTCCTTGCGTAGACTTGACTTATGATGCTGTACTGATTCTGAATGCTCATGATTTACAGCTACCGTTGAGTAATGATTCTAGGAATGATTTATATCATTTGTAATACTTGAGAAGCACACAGCCTTGATTTGGAGTTGTTTTGCAGTGTTAATAGCTCTGAAGAAACCATTGTTTAGACATCGCCTCGACCATGTGTGTGTGCGCAAGGCCTGGTCAAAATTACCCATGCCTTGATGAGAACCAATATTCTAGTGATGTTGAACATGTAGTGACCAGGCTGGTCTGGTGGTCTAGCACGAATTTAATAGCAGAGTTATTTATAGTGCTCAGTACTTTCATTTCTCTATTATTGATATTAACTTCATGTATTCAGTATTGTGTAGAATGCAGCTGAGTGATATACATTTATTTCTATTAAGACTGTGAAGGATCAGTCCGATTTTACTTCAGTTTTGTGTCTATGTAAAATTCACTAGCATGTGGACCAGAGCACTTTTTAGCAATAGTTAAGACCACCTATCTCAGCAGGTGGCATTTCTTTGTTCTAGAGCCCTGTAGGCAGGCATGGCCTGCATTGGCATGCGGTATGATGAGAGCATGGGCAAAATCACTCATGCATGATTAACTGTTTACTGGTTGACTCATCGCTGGACTAGACCCTGTGTTGACTTAGGCCACAGAATCGATACTTGATTATAGTGACTATTTACATGTACTGTACATGCATTGTGGCCCAAGGAGTTGGTATTTTTATCGATACTGGGATCGAATTTAGGATTTAGGGTCTTTTATTATTGTTTCACCATTGCTGTTACTGTGTGAACTTCCAGCATTTTTGCGAATAATTCGTTAGACGATGATGGTTATTTTTCATTGCAGTGTTAGTTCTAATTACTTTCCTTGAGAAATGAGATACCCTTCTAGATTAATGGTTAATTTCTTTAGATTATTTTGTAACTATGTTTTGTATTTGTGTAA